CAAGGGTGAGACAAATTCTATTTTTGTTTGTTCATTTTAATGTATAGAATGAGGAATATGCTAGGGACCATGCGAAGTAGAGGCCATTTTCTGGTGGTGTTGTTCTTATTTGTGTATTGTCTAGTGAGAGCAATAGTTTCTTATGATGGCAAAGGTTTCATCATCAATGGGGAGAGGATGATTCTCATCTCTGGCTCTATTCACTATCCAAGAAGCTCCCCTGAGGTACCAATTCATTTATCCCACTATTATAATCATCCCTATTTTAAAGTCAGCTTAATCAAATTAGGATTTTTGCTTTCGAGGCTTATAATTGATAAATGTCTATTCTAAATAAAGTTTCAAACTTTTGAAGAAATATCATTCGTTTTCCAATAGAGTGCAAGAAGAGTGCAACTCTTGAGTGACAATTTCAAATTTTTGAAGAAATATAATTGGTTGTGGTGGTGCGGCTGGGGCTATAGTTGGCGGTAGGGTAGTTACGGTTCCAAGCGTAGTTTTTTTTTTTTTTTAATTTTTTTTAAACGTATTTGTGTTTCTCTGGCGTCGGGGTAGTGCCGGCGTCATTACTTCGTTTTGTTTTCCTCGGGGTGGGGTTTCATTGAATGTCGATTTGAGTGTAAATAAAGTGGAAAATTTTAGTTTCATTACAATAAAGTAACTTATAAATTCATTGTGTGTGCTATAGTTGTTGAGTGTTTGATCAGAGTTCTCATTTGTTTGACTTGTTGTTCGGTGTGTGCAAGGTAGTTGTTGGGTGTGTGCCCCAAGCCAATGTATATATAATCTATATCTATTCATGATATGGTTATTTCTGTATGTTTTTGGATAACGGTTCTGGATTTTCGCCAACATCCTAAATTTCGGTTTTTAAATAGTTTGTAAAAATACACTATGGCCTTTGGTAGTTTTTTTAGGGTGTGTGCGTTGTAGCAGTTGGGCTTGTGCAAACTACTGGCATTGAAGTTATAAAACTAGATGTGTGCGTTGCAGGTGTGGGGTGTGTTCTCAAATGCATGTTAACATTTAATCTAATTCGGACATTTTTTCCCCGGTTGTGTTTTGGACATTTTTCGTTCCGATCATTTGCATTAATCTTGGGTATTGGCAGGAACAATGTTAGCTTTAGAAACAAAATGTCAAATTTTATTTCACTCACATTACAATTACTTATAAACACGAACTGTGCGCTATATCTGTTCGGTGTATGCAGGGTAGTTGTTGAGTGTGTGCTCTAAGCAAATGGATATGTAATCTATGTCTATTCCTAATGTGTTTATTTCGGTATGTTTTTGGATAACGGTTCTGGATTTTTGCCTACATCCTAAATTTCAGTTTTAAATATTTTGTAAAATACACTATGGCCTTTGGTAGTTTTTAAAGGTGTGTGCGTTGTAGCAGTTGGGCTTGTGCAAACTACTAGCATTGAAGCTATAAAACTATATGTTTGCGTTGCAGTTGTGGGGTGTGTGCTCAAATGCATGTTAACATTTAATCTGATTCGGACATTTTTTTCCCGTTTGTGTTTTGGACATTTTTCATTCCTTTGTATTAATCTTGGGTATTAGCAAGAAACAATGTTGGTGAGACTTCATATGTTGGGGTAGCTATCTCATCGATTGACAATGTTGGATCGCCCCCTGTTGGTGTGTCTCCTCTTACAGGAGCAGACCCGCATTCGGATGTTTCAGATGATGAACTTGCTGTGGATGATATAGTACTCTTTCCGGCTTTGAAGATTCGTGCCGCTCCTAAGCTTTTAGTCGCACCAATGAAGCGGTTTAATGCTTCAAATGCTTTTACACATGAGTCACATTCCGTTAACCAATACTTCGTACCACATGGGGCTACATCCATTACACAATCTTGTCCGTCATAATTTTCTTCACTGGGTACTCCACCACACACGCCAGTATAATATTCAATATTTTTAATAAATTAATAAAATTTATGGAATAACTGTTCACGCCTAATTCATATTAAAAATTTAAAGAACAAACAGTAATGAATCATGATTTCCCGCACACACCAAATAACAATTTTGCACTTGGAAAGAAACAATTATACTAATAACAACGACTTGTTGTAGCCTCTGGCTCAGATACGTGCACGTGCCCAACAACAGCCATGCACATAGCATTGTTAATAAACAACTTCGATACATAATAAAAACCCAACACTAGGTATCGTTTTAATCTTCACTGTTATAAATAAAAACTACCGCATGAATTTGAATACACATTTGATTATAGTTTTGTAACAATTATTAAACCTGAACCAAAATATGCACACGCCACGTAACTTACACGCACACACCACCGTTACATATAACTCTAGTCTACGAATAAAAAAAAAACCCAGCTGATCCACTTTTTAAATATTTTTCTTGACAAACAACCCACCAACATGACTTCATGCACACATCAAATACTTATATGAGCTTTTAAATACAAAAACAAAAAACAAAAAAAAAACAAATCCCTCCCATCCATTTAATTTGCACACGCCAAAGCACATATACGCACACACCACCGTAATATAAGCCATATGTTGGGGGAGAAATAAGTCATTGCACTATTTAATTCTTTTCCTTCAAAAACAAGCCGGCAACATGTATTAATGCACACACCAAGTAATCATGTTCAAAGCAAAAAAAAAAAAAAAAAAGAAAAAGAAAAACTCCAGAGACACAGACATAAATATGCACACGCTAGATACCTTACGCGCACACATCACCGTTATATATACCTCTTGTTGACATATAAAAAAACAAAACCTTCCAATTTTAAAATCTTTTTCTTTAAAAACATCCCACCAACATGAACTCACGCACACAGCAAATACTAATCTCAGGTTTTAAAATAAAAAATTAAAAAAAAAAACCCCATCTATTCAATTCGCACACGCCAAAACACATATACGCACACACTAACGTAATATACGTCACATGTCGAAAAAAAAAAAAAAACCAGTTGCACTATTTAAGGATTTTTCTTCAAAAACAAACCCCCAACATGTACTAACACACGCACCAACTAATAATTTTGAAAACCCTAAAAAAATTTGCGTAGAACCAAGTCCATAAAAATGCACACGTCATCGATCTTACTCGCACACACCACCGTAAAGAATTAGCAATATATATATATATATATATATATATATATATATATATATATATATATATATATATATATGTATGTATGTATGTATGTATGTATATATTTATTTATTGAGACTACACACATGACTACAATTACTTATTTATCATCCACTGAGCCTTGATCTCATAACATCCCACATGAGAAAGGTCACTACATGCCATCTGTGTACTGGATTAATAATAATAATAATAATAATAATAATAATAATAATAATAATAATAATAATAATAATAATAATAATAATAATGTGGTGTTGTGAACAATCACTTCAACATATACGTATGCATATATATCATGTATAAGCTATTTAACATGCACAATTTTCAATTCCACCCCCTTTTTTACTTAGCTTTATCATTTTTTCCCATAAAGATAATTATAATTATTATTATTATGACTATTTTGTAGTGACTTTCTCAACTTTGGCATAGATTTAATGTTGTTCAGAATGATAGAATTTTAAGATCAAAGATTTGATGGGCAAAAGAACTTGGTGATATCAAGCAAAATAAATTATCATAAAATATACACCGAATAATTATTATGGTAATTAAGGAATTAATTGCACATATATTAATATAATTTGACTAATAATTATTATGGTAATTAAGTTAATAATTACCTTAATAATAGTATAATTACAATTAAACATGGATCGTTCAATGTTTTTAATAATTATTACAATTAATTTTATGATAATCTCTCTCTTGCATACACACACACGCACACGCGCGCGCGCACACACCCACAAAGAATGTATAAAACTATAATTGCACAATATTAGTATAATTATCTAATAATTATTATGGTAATTAAAATATTAATTACACAAATATTAGCATATATGATTAATAATTATTATGTTAATTAAGCTAATAATTACAATGATATTAGTATAATTACAATTAAACATGGGTCGTAGGATTTTTTTATATAATAATTACAATTAATCCAATTCATATATAGAGGAGGGGCGATATGGTGAAAAGAAATATACTTAAGATATAAAAGTATAATCACACGGATATTAGTATAATTGACTAATAATTATTATGGTAATTAAGCTAAACATAGATCGTTGATTTATTTTTACAATAATTACAATTAAATTATTTATCCTTTTTTCTCTTATTTATTTTAGTAATAATATAATTACATAAATCTTATTACATATCGATTTTTTAAGATAATTGCAGGCAAACGAGTCATATATTATTCAATTAATTGAGTGATACTTTTACACTAATCTTATAATAAAATAAATGTACATTTCCAAATATTAGAATTGTTTATAATATCATCTTTAAAGATTTTATCCGTGAATTGCATGGGTAATTGGGCAATTATTTGCTTGAATTCAAGCAATAATGATAACATAAAAAAAACATAATCGATCCAACCCATTTCATCAATTGCACAATATAATATTTATGTTTAAAATTTATATAGTTGTATATCGATTCAAATATTCTTAAATATTATAACAAATCAATTTCGTGCAACGCAATGTGAAAATACTAGAATTCTAAGAATATTTGAATCGATATACAATTAGTCAATTATATAAATTATAACAACAAATATTATATTGTGCAATCTATTTAATATAAAAAAAATACAAAAATACTAAAATTTCTATTCCTATTTTTCCGTCACTACTCAATATTGAATCAATGATATTTAGTTTACTGCTTTATTTTTTTTTGAAAGATAGTTTACTCCAATCTATTTATTCGACTTTGTTATTTACTTTTCATTATTTATAAATAAACTAATTTTTGTTTTGTTTTTTTTTGTTTTTTTTTTTGTTTTTTTTTTTTTTCCTTTTAAGAGTTGATGTTATCGGATTCAAATAAAAAACAGTTTGCTTTGGTGGAGTTGGAGAAGTTGCTATCTTTGTGGGGGAAGAGCCTGAAGGACTTTTCAGAAATGTCAATTCCATACGAAACTAACATATGTTTGAGTGAAAACACGTTGATAGCTGAAGAGTTAGCATATGACAAGGAATCGTTGAAGATAAAGCATGAAATATTGGTAACACAATTGACCGACGAGCAAAAGAATGTTTACGACTCTGTGATGAACGATATTGATTCCAATGGAGGTGGATTGTTCTTTGTGTATGCTTACGGAAGAACAGGCAAGATGTTCGTGTGGAGAACATTATCGTCAAAGATAAGGAGCCACGGTGATATTGTTCTGAATGTTGCTTCCAGTGGAATAGCATCTTTGCTCTTGCTGGGAGCCAGGACGTCGCATTCTAGATTTTCTATACCACTCTCTTTGAACGAAGATTTCATCCCACGTGCAATATATCGCAAGGTAGTGACCTTGCTGAGCTTATAATAAGGAGCAAATTGATAATATGAGATTTAACACTGATTACGCACAAACACTATTTTGAGGCTTTGGACAAACCATGAGGGATCTATTGAGGTTCGCCATACCGGTTAGTGCTGAAAAGACTTTTGATAGAAAGACAATAGTTTTGGGCAGCGATTTTAAACAGATCCTACCTGTTATTCTGAAAGCAACAAGACTAGTAGTTGTCGGAGCAAACATTAATTCTTCATACATGTGAACAAATTGCAAGGTATTAAGGCTCACCAAGAACTTGAGACTACGGTCCTTAGCTTCAGAGGAAGATAAACAAATGGTTGATTGGTTTTCAAAATGGATTGTAGAAATCAGAGATGGGATTGCAAGGGTGGTAAACAACGGTTCATTTGAGATCGATATTCCTGCACAGTTTTTGTTGAAGTGTGGACACAATCCCATAACAAGTATACTGGAAAGCACATTCCCAAGCTCGAGATATGGCATACTTGATGAGTCGCAGCTAGAAGGCCGAGCAATCCTCTCGCCGACTTTAGATGTCGTTGATCAAATTAATTAGTGCATGTGCGACATGAATACTGCAGAAGGACGAATATATTTATAAAGTTGTGATACTTTGTGTAAGGCAGAATCAGACAGTGAAAATTTATTAGAAGTACACACTCCTGAGTTCTTAAATAGTTTGAGATTGTCGGGTCTTCATAATCATTCATTGACATTAAAGTTCAGTGCGACTGTTATGTTATTGCGGAACATAGACCAGTCTCTTGGTCTTTGTAACGGGGCGTGACTCATCATCACAAGATTCGTAGATCACATTTTCGAAGCAAAAATAGTTAATGGAACACATAAAGGAACCAAAGTTCTTATCCATCGAATTTCTCTCACTCCTTTTGATACGAGATTGCCCTTCAAATTCCAATATAAACAATTCCCGTTGATGCTTGCATATGTCATGACTATCAACAAAATCCAATGTCAAACACTAACTCACGTTGGGTTAGTGCTAAAAAAAATGGTCTTTAATCACGGACAATTGTACGTGGCTTTCTCCCGAGTCACCCATCCCGATGTCCTGAAGTTGTTAGCTCTAGACTAGGATGGACAGGATTGTGTTGTGACTACCAATGTCGTCTACAAAGAGGTTTTCAATAATGTGTAAATACAATCGATGTATATTATGTTTTTTTTTTTTCAAAATCACAAAATTGCTATATATCTAGAAAAAAATATATCCTTTATACGAATGAATTAGGATAGCAATTGATTATTATAACTAAGTTGCTAGAGAACAAGCACATTTGCCCAATTTATAAAAATCCTAAACAATGATATATAAACATCTCTAAAGTTACAGCACCGCATGCATACATCTACACATTAACTATTAATTTGAACAATTATTTGCTCGAATTCAAGCAATGATAACATCAACAAACATAAATGAGCCAAACCATATCTTCAATTGCATTATATAATACTCCGTATTTGATGTTATAATTTAAATAATTGTATATCGATCAAAATATTCTTAATATATTATAACAAATCCATTCCGTGCATCGCACGGGTGGAAATAGTAGTTAAATTTAAATACATTAAGAATGGAACTCTAAGTTATGTCTTATAAAAGGGGTCTAAGTTCAGTTCAAATACAGTCTGGTAATCCTATATCACTTCAAACACGTTGTCAAATCCTATATAAAATACAATATGCCTCCTCTCTACATTCTGGCTAGTGAGATAACACCCGTGAAAACAACTTGTGCTTTGAATGTTAGATGTATTCGTTCTTACGAAATTAGAGAACGTAGGGGCTGTGAAGTTGTAAAATGTCTCGAGTGCGTCTTCCATGACCAGGAGGTGATTATCAAGCCTGAGAAAATGCAGTCCTCATTATCAACAACAGCATATTATATAATCATTTATCAATGTAATTTATTATCAATGTAAGTTATATAATAATGTTTTTATTTTTTCTAATTGTAGGGGAATGTTTTACATGATCATATTCCCCGCGAGCATGTTGTTAAATTTCATAAGCAGTTCGTTGAAGGCAAAGTCTATTTGTCTAAAAAAATTTCAGGTCATTACAAATTTTTATACTTATAAGACCATCAAGAACAAATTTATGGTCAAGTTTAACTATTCTACGGTTGTCAATGAGTACAAAAATCTCAATTTTCCTAGGCACATGTTTCGTTTGCGAACTTTTCAGTCTTTGAAATCATTTGAGAATATTAATGACAAGGAACTTATTGGTAAATAATCATTTTTTCTAATATTCCTTTTTTGTTTTGATAATTGTTTTCAATTTACATATGATTTAATTAATTATATTTACTGTTTTGTTAGATGTTATTGGAAGGGTAGTAGAAATTTATCCTCCTCTAGAAATGGTTGTTGGTGGAAGGCCTTCTCTATTACGAATGGTATTAGGACTCTTTGTATTTGAGTCACATTATGACTCCCTATCCTAGTCTTCCTATGATTCTCACTTGTATATATTCCCTCAATCTGTACAGTTGTAATTACTGTTCATCTAATATAGTTTATACAGTTCTCATCTGGTATCAGTAGTCTCAGGTTCCTTTCATATTTACTCTCAATGGAGCCCCATGCAGTAATATTGAAGGATCTACTAACTCCTCTGAGCGGACCGTTTCGAATGCTACCATTACTTCTCCCAAGTTCTATGGCTTCAATTCGCGTTCTATTGCCCATCATTTTATCAGTATTAAGCTTACCCACAAAATTTCTAGTTTTGGAGGACATTAGAAGTTCCCTTTTTAGAGGGACACGGGCTCATGGGGTTTATTAATGGGACTAACCCATGCCCGTCGGCCTTCCTACCGGTTGTCGCCGACAGTGAACCACAACCAAACCCGGCTCATGCCGTGTAGTATCGCCACGACAAAGCATTGATGTCAATACTGATTTCATCACTTTCTGAAGAAGTCATGCACCTCGCCGTTGGACGTCGTACATCACTGGAGGTTTGGTTGTCCATAGAGTAGTCTCTAGCTTCTTCATCTCGTGCCTGGTCACTTAATTTCCTCGGTCAGCTTCAGTCTCTCAAGCAAGGTGACTCCACTATTGCGGATTATATTGGCCGTGCACGTGTTGTTACGAGAGTCCTAGCCTTGGCCGGTCGACCGGTTGGTTTGGACGAGATGAACCAATTACACTTTCTAATTTATTTTGTCGTATTCTATTTGTAACACCCCGAAATTTTTAAAACTTTTCAATCTTATAATACGAAAGCAACTCTATTAAATTAATTCCAAATAGAGTATTATGAACATAAGGGTCTGGGGTGTTATGCCACATCTGAGCTGGAGAACTCAGATGCACAAGCTACATCAACTAATTATCCTCAAACAATGTCATTACATCAATAAGGCACGCAGGCCGAAGGAAGGACTAACTAACTAAGCCGGGATCCTCTAGCGCGCTCCGGTGGCAAATCATCTGTGCCTGAAAGCCAAATATATCTGTTCAATGAATGATGCTGGTAACCCACTCCAACGCGTTAAAATACAATATAGGTATATATATATATATATATATATATATATATATATATATATATATATATATATATATATATATATATATATATATATATATATATATACATACATACATACATACATACATACATACATACATACATATATATATATATATATATATATATATATATATATATATAGGAAAACCATTTTGAAGCAGGAAGATATATATTTAGGAGACTCTAGCTTTAAAACCAGGAATAGACACGACAAGTAGGGACAAGTACGTTCAACAGTTATAATCAAGCATGTAAAGACATCATTATTTATATATCTAAGGTGACAGATACTTTCATGTCATTCATATCATTTTTCAATCAATATCTTTATTACACAAGCATACTTTGGTTGCGCCACGGGACCAATCGCATGCCAAGACATGACGGTTAGCGCATATAGCGCTAACACGGTCCGCAACACCCTACCTCATAGCGCAGCATGAAGGGATTGACCGCAGCCAACCGATTAGACCGTTGACGAGCTCAACGACGGACCACAGTCCTACACACCACTGACGAGCTTAGTCGGTGGACTGTGATCCTCTTTGTGGACTGCGACCCTACACACCGCTGTGAGACCGCTGACGAGCTCAGCAGCGGACCATAGTCCTACACACTGCTGATGAGCTCAGTCGGTGGACTATGATCCTCTTTGTGGACTGCAGCCCTACACACCGTTGACGAGCTCAGTCGGTGGACTGCAGCCCATGGACCACAGTCCTACACCCCGCTGACGAGCTCAGTCGGTGGGTTGTAGCCCATGTAAACCAATTTGACCGCAGCCAATATTGGGGAGTCATGCACATATAACACGTAGCAAGCACATGCAATTCATATCAACACATTGGGAGAGGGGGGAAAAACGTATAAAGAAACTTATACTAGGAAATACCCTAAAGGTCCATGCATCTTTCACCTAGGTCAACGGGTACCAATTCAACTAGCATGCAATACACAAGACTCTTTTATCCTACGAACGGTACCCGAAACATCAAACTAGACTTAGGCATGATAAACGGAGTCCGTCGGGACACCACGTGGGTCGGGGAACATCAAACAGGGAAGCAAACATCCCAAGGTGGAGAAAATCCAGCGGGTGGAAGACCACCCGCCGGCTGCCCGCCGGCGGCAAACCTCCGGCCAGCGGGTGCCCGGCGGGCAGTCGTCTGCCCGCTGCCGGCGATGCCGAATTGGGCAGCGGGTAGGTGGCGGGTCCTCCTTCCCCCACCTACCCCCACTGACTCTCTTTCAATATTTTGGTCCTGGGATCTCTTGTGGATCCCGAAACCATGTTTCGACACTTTTAAACACAAATGACGACACCACGTAATCAAATAATGGATCAAAACCAAGAATCATATTGAACATATCCTAACATAACTTCTAGACATAAATAACACCCCAACATGCGAAATCCCGCCCAAATATACCAAGAATATCACAATACGAAATTCCTAAATCAACCTAGGACTCTAATCATATTCATATCATCAACCTAGGGGGAGAAAATTTTGTGTGAGGAGGAAGAAGAAGGGTTTTTGATTTGGGGATTTTGTGGGTTTTAGGGATTTGTAGGGGTTTAAGAAGGGAGTGTTCCCTTAAAGTTCTAAGAGACACTCATGGTTTAGTGGTTAAAGGTTTGGTTTTATAAGTGGAAGGTCTAGAGTTTAATTCCCATTAGTAACATTGTTTTTTTTTTTTTTTTTGTGCACCCTTTGGACTCTCTTGTCTTTTCTTTCCTGTGTCTTCTAGTGGTAGGGAGTTTGACTGGTCTTCTTTGCTGGACTTTTGTCTTTAGTAGATGTTTGACTTTGGTGACTCATGGGTTCTTGGGATCGTCTAGTCCTTCATGCTGATTTATTTTGATTTTGTTTCTTTATTTATAATAATTCCGAAGTAGCTAAACAAGTAATTTTACTACGAGGGTGATTACAGGGGGTTCACTAATCAACCTAAACAGAATTCGTCCCCTTGGTCTTCTCCTG